CTCTATCCGCATTTGGGTCACAAGATGTTAGAATCAATTATCGACGTTGTATAATATATTTGTGAAAACATCTCTCAGGTCAACACTTTTTATTGTTAAGATGTCTCTAAAGGAGGTCTACCTACAAGAAGATTTGTCTCCAGCTGTGATGTTAATCAACACAATATATGTCAGTTTGTCTCTAAGTAGGGTCACAATTGAGAGAGGGAAACTTCCCGGCTGTAAGGTGGCTTAACATCATACGAAAATTGTTACTTATCCATTCTCGCTGTCTCTTATTGTGGGATTTAACAAATTATAGGAATTTGACATTTAGTCTGTGAAACAAGCGAAAAGAACCAAAAACAGCAAATAAGGGATTTTATACCTGTTGTCACTTCTTATAAGTAGTAATTTTAGAGAGATACCTACTCACTGTCTTGATTGGAAAGAAGATATCAGATTCCTTTGAACGAAAACACTATTCACGAGTGAATATTTAATAACTATCTTTGACATGAATAATCACATAGTGTCATCTGGTACAAATTTGTACTGATGTACCTTTCATTACATAAGATGTCTACTTTACAATATGTTATCATAAATATTCTGTTTCTATCAATATGGAGGCGTACATACATGTTACATACTCTATCCGCATTTGGGTCACAAGCTGTTAGAATCAATTATCGACGTTGTATAATATATTTATGAAAACATCTCTCAGGTCAACACTTTTTAATGTTAAGATGTCTCTAAAGGAGGTCAACCTACAAGAAGATTTGTCTCCAGCTGTGATGTTAATCAACACAATATATGTCAATCTGTCTCTAAATAGGGTCACCATTGAGGGAGGGAAACTCCCCGGCTGTAAGGTGACTTTACATCATACGAAAATTGTTACCTATTCATTCTCACTATCTCTTATTGTGAGGTTTAACAAATTATAGGAATCTGACATTTAGTCTGTTAAACTAGCGAAGAACTTAAAACAGCAATAAAGATTTTTTACCTGTTGTCACTTCTTATAAGTAGTAAATTTAGAGAGATACCTACTCACTGTCTTGATTAGAAAGTAGATATCAGATTCCTTTGAACGAAAACACTATTCACGAGTGAATATTTAATAACTATCTTTGATATATATAACCACATAGTGTCATCTGATACACTTTCCTTCCTATGTATATTGTTCGTAAGTAATATCACTGTACGGAATGGGTTAAAAACAAATCCAAGTGTTGTATGCTTGAATATTTTAAGATGAAACAAACAATAATTCTATAAACAAAACAAATCAATTTATTCATGCCATATTAGATATTGGGAGTTTTGAAAATTCACTGAAAGGGCATACATTTACATTGTATGTAGTGTTATATAAACACTTCTGTTTGAAATTGGAGTATCATAGCAAGTGCGCTATTCACGCAAACATAAAAATTGAAAACGGGTATTTGGTAAATAGAATGACAAACCAAGACGTTAAGAGACACTTTTACGCTCAGGATGAAAGTTTGCACTTGGAGACCGCACAGACGACCTTTTCTCTATTATGACAGCTTATGTTAGAATCTCGTTGTAATTGTATACTGAGAGCACACGTATGTCAACATAGCTACAGGCACCTGACCTCATATAATACTCTTACCCTAACAAAGGTAAGCATACGTTAATGTTTAGGACATTATAAAAACGACAATATACTTTATTTTGTACTCAAGAACCTGGCAGAATACAGCTGTTCACAGCCTGTTAATATATTTTAATCCTAAATCGTCAATAATGGAATAGGTACTAAAGTGACTTTAATGTAAAGGGACATTAAGTAATCCATAAAGGCATTCGAACTCTCACCTTAACACTGGCAGATGTGGTCAGTCAGTGCCTTGGACATACCAAAACTGCTCAATCACTTTGTACCAAGAAACATGAACTGCATTATAGCCGTGCCTATACAGTTAAAACGCTTCTATCCGATTAATTACCTTAATCCAATAACAAAGAAATTGAGATGAGTCGTGTAGGTATTCGACCTCATGTATGTATGCGTGGTCAGTATATTACTCAGGTATACCAAAATTACCTAATCACTCATTATTCTGGCACTTAACAACAGATCTCTTAAAAACTTTTCAGTTTATATTAAATACATTACTTAGATGCTATCATAACGCCACATTATTTTGTTTGGTCAAAACGGGGAAAAAAATTATATAAAAAACCCAACAACCCCAACAGTTTAAAAGATCATTATATATATAGATATATATATAATTGTTTATGGTTTCTTAGTTGAAATGTGTAATCTTTGTCTTACCGAAAGACTTGCATAGACTTCATATCGACTTACTTTTTATTTTATTAATTAGCATGTCGAGGTCGGTCTATAGAGTAAGCAGTAATCACAATTAATGTCATTTCGGTTTGAGGTGTTATGACCTTTCACTTGACAGCAAACAATCTGTTTCACCACGTGTGATTTCTGCGTGATGTAAATAAATCTTTAACTAATGTGGAATGTTAAACGTCAATAAGTGTTATACTAAACAGAAACTACTGCCGTTATCACTATATAATGTTAACCGTCATGAGTCTACTACTAATGGGAAAGTGATACAGTTATCACTATATAATGTTAACCGTCAATAAGTCTACTACTAATGGGAAAGTGATACAGTAATCACAGTAGAATGTTAACCGTCAATAAGTCTACTACTAATGGGAAAGTGATACAGTTATCACTGTAGAATGTTAATCGTCCATAAGTCTACTACTGATGGGAAAGTGATACAGTTCTCACTGTAGAATGTTAACCGTCAATAAGTCTACTACTAATGGGAAAGTGATACAGTTATCACTGAAGAATGTTAACCGTCAATAAGTCTACTACTAATGGGAAAGTGATACATTTATCACTGTAGAATGTTAATCGTCAATAAGTCTACTACTGATGGGAAAGTGATACAGTTCTCACTGTAGAATGTTAATCGTCAATAAGTCTACTACTGATGGTAAAGTGATACAGTTATCACTGTAGAATGTTAACCGTCAATAAGCCTACTACTGATGGGAAAGTGATACAGTTCTCACTGCAGAATGTTAACCGTCAATAAGTCTACTACTAATGGGAAAGTGATACAGTTATCACTGTAGAATGTTAACCGTCAATAAGCCTACTACTGATGGGAAAGTGATACAGTTCTCACTGCAGAATGTTAACCGTCAATAAGTCTACTACTAATGGGAAAGTGATACAGTAATCACAGTAGAATGTTAACCGTCAATAAGTCTACTACTGATGGTAAAGTGATACAGTTATCACTGTAGAATGTTAACCGTCAATAAGTCTCCTGCTGATGGGAAAGTGATACAGTTCTCACTGTAGAATGTTAATCGTCAATAAGTCTACTACTGATGGGACAGTGATACAGTTCTCACTGTAGAATGTTAACCGTCTATAAGTCTACTACTGATGGTAAAGTTATACAGTTATCACTGTAGAAAGTTAACCGTCAATAAGTCTACTACTAACGGGAAAGTGATACAGTTATCACTGTAGACTGTTGACCGTCAATAAGTCTACTACTGATGGGAAAGTGATACAGTTATCACTGTAGAAAGTTAACCGTCAATAAGTCTACTACTGTTTGGAAAGTGATACAATTATCACTGTAGAATGTTAACCGTCAATAAGTCTACTATTGATGGGAAAGTGATACAGTTATCACTGTAGAATGTTAACCGTCAATATGCCTACTACTGATGGTAAATCGATACAGTTATCACAGTAGAATGTTAACCGTCAATAAGTCTACTTATGATGGTAAAGTGATAGTTATCACAGTAGAATGTTAACCGTCAATATGCCTACTACTGATGGTAAAGTGATACAATTATCACTGTAGAATGATAACCGTCAATAAGTCTACTACTGATGGTAAAGTGATACAGTTATTACTGTAGAATGTTAACCGTCAATATGCCTACTACTGATGGTAAAGTGATACAATTATCACTGTAGAATGTTATCCGTCAATAAGTCTACTACTGATGGTAAAGTGATACAGTTATCACTGTAGACTGTTAGCCGTCTATAAGTCTACTACTGATGGGAAAGTGATACAGTTATCACTGTAGAATGTTAACCGTCAATAAGTCTACTACTGATGGGAAAGTGATACAGTTATCACAGTAGAATGTTAACCGTCAATAAGTCTACTACTACTGGGAAAGTGATACAGTTGTTTCCACAACTGAAGTGTGTTGTCTTCTTTTAATGAAGAGTGTGTCAATTAGTATTCTAGTTACTTAGGGTACATGTAACCAAACTACGAAATGAACTTGTATTTGAATACAAAGAAAATGCCGTTACGCCTGGCGCCTTTAATTAATACATGCTGAGCTAGATTAACGTATCATCATCATCACATTAGATATTTATTTTGATATTTAATGTATATATACTTAACTACAGTGTAACCGTCTGATGATTGTTTGTATGTGTATACTTCGTATTATGCCATTCAATGGTCGTTCTACACAGACATCAAATCATTGATTGATTGAAGAAATTAATTATCAATACCGTTGTGTAATACCTGTAATCTAATGATGTTTTGCATATTCAGTAAATCAACTTCCTCTTTACCAAGAAAAAGAAAAGATAACTCCACGCCTGCATTCTAATTTACAGAAATGAAATTCGCGCTGATAACGATTTTCTTGGTATGCCCAATCCATACTCGAACTAATTTATAGTAAGAATGCATCGACAGGGTTCGGAGTCCAGATCAAATAATCAATGTGTCAGATATGCCGAATCAGATTAAACTTATCGGTCTGGTGGTTAGGTCCACGTGCTCACAATCCAATACACATACAAGAGAACCTATTTCATGACAGGTAAATTCCCATGACGGGACGCTCACATCTGATTGGACGCTTGTGACTTTGCCCGGTGTATATAAGGCCTACACGGAACTAGCATTACTCTATACTAATACTTTACCCTAGAATACACACGCACACCTGTGTCGGAATACTTTAACTATATCATTAAGTCTAACGGAAATATGGTGATGTCTCTATACAACTCTGGAGTCCAGTGTACCGTGGTAGGGGACGGAATGGTCGGAAAGACGTGTCTCGGACGCTCCTTTGCTGACCAGACATTTCCGGTCAATTATGTGGCTACCGTCATGGACACATACAGAGGTACAACTTATGTGGACGGGAATAAATACGGAATTACACTCACTGACATGGCTGGAGAGGTAAGCTTCAATGTGCAATTTTTACTTCATAGTTCAAAGATAGTTAGGAAATAGTGAAAATAGTGAACATTTGTGATTTTTGTTTTTATTTATTTAAATCTATTATTTCTTTTAACTATTTTATTCTTCATCAAGGGTAAAAAACAACAAAAGAAATTTAGGAGGTTTTACTTCATTTTTTAACTCGATCTCTCAACTCACCAGAACTCTATCAATCATCTTCCATGTTATGTTATGAATTATACTGCCTGATCATATCAGTGATATTTTTTACTTTTGTATTTACAGCATGACGTCGTAACAGTAAGTGACTTTACAGCCACAGATGTATTCATCATCTGCTATAGTGTCGTAGACCGAGAGTCCTTTGAAAGTGTCCATGATTTCTGGGCCCCCGAGATCCGGAAAATTGCCAAGAAACGCCCGGTCATCCTTGTGGCTACTCAAACTGACCTACGACAGGAATGGAACAAACAACACGTAACAATAAAGGAAGGAGAAAGTCTGGCTAAACTTATGTCTGCAGCTCGTTTTTCGGAAAGCTCAGCCTTTGCCAAGAAAGGGGTAACAACCATCTTCAAAAGTGTGGTGCAAGCATCTCTAAAGTTCCACAAGAAGAAGTGTAACATCCTCAAACGCGTTCTTAGTAGTATTTGAACAGACAATTCAATAAATTGAATTCGAACTTGAACTGATCCCCCGAGATCAAAGATGGACCATGCTGTTACAAGCGTTGGCTACTATCAATGGACCAGCAGGTCTAGAGGATATACCGTTCCAGGTATCTGCCTGTATATGGATACCCCCTTGATATAACTGCATGAGACACACAAATTTCTAGGAGATATACCTCAAGGGAGATGACCTTTGAAGGAGACACAACATAGAAACAATGGCTGCATTGTCTTCTTCTTCTTAGGTAGGTGTCATCTATTTTAATATATACAATTACAACCAACAATCTGATCGAGATTAAACAGTTGTTTCCTTTATCAAGTATAACTAATTAACAAATTATCTATCAATTTATATATTATATTTATATAATTAATCTATTATTTGATTTAAAGATAATTTGATTTAACAGTGAAATTGTTTTGTCTGTTAATGTTAACATTCTTGCTCAGTCCTTAAACTTATCATACGCTTATTGTACATTTCAGAATTACTACCCTGCTCCATACCTAAATACCAAGGGAAGTTCATCTACTTTGTGAGGAGAAGTATACCAACAGTGAATGACCTCTTTTAAATTTTGACAATCCTCGGTGATTGGTCAACAATGACAATGTGAAAGTGTCTTCTTATCTTCTCTGACGAGGAGGAACAACGTGTGTTTATTGTACAAACTATACAATGCAGTGTGTTAACTGATAAACTGGTTGTTGGCGATCTGAGTCACCCTGGGACGATGTATCAAAATCGGCAATAAACCTTTAGCCTTACCAACACTAGTAACTGCCCTGTATTACCATTCAGTGGATGTGGTATATTTCCCTGTCAATAACAATCGTGAAAGGACAGATATGACATGTAGCCACATGTCAATACACTCTTCCCTAATCGCGTTAAAATGATGCTCAATATCACGCAATACCAATTACAAGACAAGTCTGTCTGGCTGATGAAATAAATATCGAACCTTAAACGTTTTTGTTTGTTTTGATATAACAGTGTGTGATCAAGATATCACATGTCAGTGTTATCTATTATCTGTTAGTTGTTACTTGGCCTAGTTGTCTAGGGAGACATAACAACACTGCTGCTGGGTAGTTTTTGTGAATAAGTTTTAGCAAAATAGTTTACCGATGCTTGGTTGGTTTGTTGACAGGTCATAACAAAGCAATAGAAGTCATATAAGGCTAACTTCATTTATTGTGGTTGTTAAAGTAATTGACTGTGTGAATGATATGATTTGCAAAAAAGGCACTGTCAATACATAGATGTCCTTATATTATGATAGTATAGCCATAACAGAACTATCAATACATAGATGTCCTTATATTATGATAGTATAACCATTACAGAACTATCAATACA